TCATTACCGGCGTTGGAGTATCTGACGAACATTGGGCGCGGTAATACTTTTCAGGACGTCGATACAACATGATGACATCGAATAACGCGGAGTCTCTTAATGCATTGTTTAAGAAGGATCGAGAGTTACCAATTCTCCCAATGATTGAGAATATTTGTAACAAGCTGCAACAGTGGTTTCATAACCGACGTACGGCATCATAGAGTTGCACTAACGTGTTAGCCCCAGCTCAAGAGGAGAAACTCTTTAAGGCGGCAGAAGTTGCGAGGAAGTTGAATGTGGAAGCACTAGATGAGGTCCGCTTCTCCGTGCAATGTGCACGTAATACGGTATATATGGTGGACTTGACTGATAACACATGCACTTGTACATGATTTCAGTTGGAGAGTTTTCCATGTGAACATGCAATTGCGGTGGCCATCTATCGAGGTTTTGTAGCGAAAACATTATGTTTTTTGTATTATACGACTGAGTTTTGGAGAACAGCATATGCTAAGACTATATTTCCTCTGCTGAATGAAGCCGAGTGGGAAGTTCCTGAGCACATTCTCCCGTTTCATAATTTGTTGCCACCAACAGTTGAACCGCATGGTCCTGGACGTCCAAGTACATTTAGAATACCATAGATCAGAGAGTTTCCTTGACTGCGTAGGTGTGGTAGGTGCAGAGCCATAGGGCATACTCGACAATTTTGTACCAGTCAAATTCCCCTAAATGACAATTAGACAGGTACGTTGAATGAATAATATTTTCGTTTACTTTACACTGTTCAATATTTGTTCTTCATAAATGTTCAATATTCAATATTTCTTCTTGATAAATGTTATTTATAATGATTCATATGAAAAAAATAGTTCCATACTCGGCATATGTGTAAAATAACAAAAAATCGACTTACAAAAAAATAATTAAATTTCCAATGTGAATGTTATATACATGGAACACAAATTTACAATTATTTTATAATCACAAAAAATAATTAAATTTACAATTCAAATGTTACATATATTTAATACAAATATGGGTCACCATTAAATTCGAACAAATCACAAGCTAACTTCTTTTTCCAGTTCAGTATTCACGATTGGTTGATTCCATCAACCTTATATCCTATACTTAAAAATTCAACGTACTTAATGGCAAATATGCCACAGTCGTCGCTACAATTGAACAAGAATGGATCAGTTCAGTACTGTGTTGCTAAAAACTAAATCTGAAAGATGAAAACAACAAAGTTCAAACGCTTACCTTATGGACTGTCGCGCTGTCGTCGTGTTCTGAACAATCCGCAATCTGTTTGTACAGTCATCCCCGCTCGTCTGGCCATCATAGGAACAATTACAGCTATGGACTACAGATTTTGCTCCAACTGGCCTTGTGTCAAACATGAATGATCTGGGTCGTACACATATATAGTCGTCTCAGCAAAAACGATTTCCAGCGTAACATGGTGCTTATTGATGCACGCTGTAATGTACATATGTGTACAACCCCACCATGATTTTCCCTCGACACCCGACGACATTCCTATGACTCACTCGAGCATATATTCTGGCACCGTGTACTCATTACCCATAAGTTGGAGCGACTGATACTCTATGGTAACGGTACGCAGGAACTCGGTGTTTAATATGACTCGACCATGGACGTCAAATGATTTTGGATGTCTTTGAGCTCGATCTCGCAGCAAGTCCATGGTTAGATCGATGTGCTGCATCAGGAAACACCAAAAAAGTATGAGTTATTCATTTAATAAATACAAAGTGACGTATACATAAAAAACACGAAATGAATAGTTCACTTACATCGTCGGCGAGCCAAGCTTCCGAAGTGGTGATATCGTGAAACCACTTGTAAGGGTCCGATACTGTTCGGTTACCTATCGTGCGACTAACTCTAAAAAAAAGGAAAATGTTAAAATAAGCATAGACAAGTTAGCATACAATGTTTTATTAAAATCATACAATACTTACCCAGGGATAATTCTCCTCCACTCCATCTCGAATGCTTTTCACTTGGCGTTGTCCACCTCCCTGAATAAGTCGGGTGCGTCCCATCGATGAACGTCCTCCTCTTGACCTCAACCGTGAAGGGGGAAACAACATACTATGACGGCACTCTCAACCTTTTGCCAACCACCTGCTCCATCTCATCAACAGCATGTCTCTTACCCTCAATCACGATGGGCGTCCTCTCGACCTCCGGGGCCACCTCCTCGGTCGCCACCTCCGTCCGCTCCTCCGATCGAGGCCACCCCCTCCGTCATCCCCTCTCTCATCGCCATCGGGGCCACCCACTCTGCATCCATAGATAACCACAATGATTCTAATGTCTCATCACGCCAAAAATGTAGGTGACCCCCCTCCCATCGCCATCTCTGTTACCCTCTCGATCATCATCTCCACTATCCCCTCTGTCCCCCCATCGCCTATCGGCTAAATCTCCTCTAAGTGCCACTATCGTATCTTGAAGGTCGACAACGCAAGACCGTAGCATTCCAACATCATGGGATAGATCGTCAACCCTCCCTGTCAACTTTCGTCCCATATCGTCGGCCATCCGTGTCAACTCTCGTCCTAAATCATCGACCCTCTTCGTCAACTCTCGTCGTAGCACGCCGACCTCCTCCGCTATAAATCTAGTCAGACGGGCATACAAATCATCAATGTGTGCCGGAGATACACAGGGAATGTGTCTGGACGAGGAAGGAGATACCCTCGGCGGTGGCGATGCCAATGGCAGCGATGATGCCCTCGACGGAGGTGATGTCAATGGCGACGACAATGCTCTCGGCGGAGGTGATGCCGATGGTGGCGGCGATACCCTCGGCGAAAGTAATCGTCGATCAACTGGACCGCCCTCTTACATAAATAACATTAAAAATTATTCAATAAATTTATACGTCGACGATATTCAATAAATTATATTTAATTCACATACTCAATCTCGGTCCAAGCTCGGATCAGACATCTCCTCGTCTTGGGTGTGCAAAACGCCTAAATCCCACACAAGACCCCGAGCCTCCTCTTCCATCGACGGCGTCAACTCAGGTATGACTTCAAACTGACATAATGACATTTCAATTAGTTAATGATCATGTAAACAGATTTTAAACTACGTATAATATAAATTACAAATGCACAATACTTACCTGAGGATCGTCGAGGAGGGCAGATAACTGTTTCCCAGTGGGACATCCGTCCGCTCGCGATGATCTCCAATGATGCATCCGAGGGTATCGTGTCTCCCCTCGCTTCGCAGAGCGGGCTCCCAGTACAAGGGCTGTCTCTTACACCCAAATCTGCAACACATACACTTATTATTCATAAATGTAATATACTAAAACTTTAATTTTAATTATATTAAACATTTAGCTGCACTGCTAAGGGCAATCCATATGTATCGTATTTACGCATTGACCCTTAGGCCTCGAGTGTGATCTGGTGAAGACATGTACGGAATCTTCATAGCATCTCCGGCCCCATGAATAGTTGTTGAACGCATCGATATCGTCAACAACTTGCAAATGAAAAATGTCGATGGCAGTTTTCTTGTGATGACACCTCATCGCACTCTCGAGGATATAGACCAGCCCAAGCTTCAATCTATCAAGCATCTGGTCACACCCCCTGATCGTGACCATCAACTCGGGTAGAAGCATCGACCCATGTCCCTGGAAGTACGTCTCGTACAACATATTGCTTTTCTTAATGGCTGCATCGTCGCCCGTAATCCTCAGTCCAGGGATCAAGCTAAACTCATACATCGAGAAACTGACGTCCTTGGCCCTGAGGTCGAAGTGGAGGGAATCGCCGTTGACTGGCCTCAGAAGCTGACATAGAAGTGCATCGATGATCTGTCCTAAGTACTGCACCTCTTTCACATCTGGTACAGTGGCCACAAGAAGGATTGTCGTAGCATATCTCCATGATGATCATCGAGCAACTTCAACACAGTAGTAAAACTCTCAAAGCTATTGTTCCAAGTAGCTTTCCCCGCCATCCGTCTCAACTCCCTATCTAAATAATACTCCATCCTTCAAAAATTCAAATGTTAGAACATTGAATAAGAGATAATAAAATAACGCATAATCTCAAAAAATCAAGCCAACCAAATTCTAACTACCATACAATACGCAAGACATTGACGCCAATAACAAAATAAATTCAATACAAATTTAAAAATTAAAATAAATTAGTTATAAAGAAAATTAATCTTGTATATTATATTTGGAAAATATATCTACAAAAAAAATTCTAATTAAATATATTTTTAAAAAATTAAAGAATATTCAATTATTAAATTATATAAATAAATTAATTATAAAAAAATTTAAAATAAATAAATAACATAATTACTATTTAAGAGTCGGGCAGACTATTAATAGTCAGATCGAGCCGACTGTTAATAGTCACCATCTTTTACTATCACTCTCGCCGAAAATCGTCATTATCGACGATGGAGAGGTCCAAAAATTACAAAAAACTCACATTTTTCATCCCAGCATGACCCACAATCTAACTACTCATGCATCTTCATCTAATTAAACCGAATAAACGTAAAATAATTCAATTAATGAAAATTGGAACAAAAAATACAACTTCAAGCGAGAAAACTAACCGGAATAATTCGTCCGGTGGTAGATACGTGCTTCTGATTGTCGATTGAAATCACTATGACATTGGTGGTTTTGGCCGGTGGTTGATCGGTCAGTTTTTTTGACAACTATGGCGTCGATTTTTTTGAGGTCGGTCAGTTAGAGAGGAAATTCTCAAACAGTCTGTAGCCTTAAAGGGTAAAATCGCCCTTTTAGTGTAAAGTTATGTATTAACTTTTTTTTTTTTTATTCATTTAATGGGTCAAAGGCCAATGTTAAAATTTGCTACAGTCCAAGAGTTATTTCCGTGTATTTCCTCCTCTCTTATACAGTTATCCTAATTTAGTTAGACAACTCTTATCATCAGGGCGTATTAATTCAAATTGATGCTTTAAACTAAGAATTAGAGGAAAAGATAATTAGCATCTATAGTAAAAGTAACGTCTGATGCATCCAGAATATAACTAGCAATGTAAAACAAGTGTCTGGAAATAGATTACAAGACACACTGATCATCACAGTATTGCCCAATAAGCTACACCAGACAGTCATAAGAACTGCTTTAGTGGGACAACTGTAACAAAGAAAGTCGTCTACTTCCGAAACAAGCCTGAACTCTGGAGAGTTCTGCAGTAATCAGCAATAATTGGAGAGTTCTTAACTTGTTCCCATATTTTGGCAGAATTCTTCAACCAGTCGCGTTCAGACACAATCCTTGAGAAAGATGGGCCACTGGTAGATAAAACCTGGAAATTTGAAATTTGAAGCTCAAATATTGATGGTATAGTATCATTCAAAAAATAATGCTCTTCCCAACTGCCACAATATATGTGATGTGAGAGAGAGAGACCTGATCCCTTACTTTCCACAGCATGGAAATATAGCTCTCATACTGTGGTCTTGAGGAGTCGTCTCTACCCTTGGATGGTATTAGAAACAATTTCAGGTTGGAATCTATGTCATCAATTTGAGTGTCAGAAGAGTGAGCATCTTTTGATGCATCTCGGCTTTTCAATCTCATAAATGAAGAAGACCTAAAACCTCGTGCAAGGGCCTTTTTCATTTGTACAAAATTTTGTGGTGCAACATCTCTGTCACGAAGCCTACACAAGAAAAGAGCATGACAAAATAGCTCTTCTATTTATCAAAACATCCCAAACATGATAATCTCCCCACAATCATCCTAATCGTAAGCGATCAAGCATGTAGATAGTTTCAATAAAACCAATTATATAGGCATGTCACCGAGCATAAGATTTCAGAATTGACATGTTTGATCCCAGTATTAAACTGTGTTATGCATCAGCAATGCTAATCATGATATATCTTAACAAACCTTGTATGCACAAAAACTGGGGCAGCAATGTACTCATCTCCACCCTCTAGAAGTTTATCCTTTTCTTTATCAGCACCCATAGTAGAGCTCTGTGGATGAGAAAAGGTCAAGGAAGATGGGTCGGGTATGCCATGTTTTAATAAATCCACCTGCCACCAGATAATGATGTTACAGATTCATATTAGAGGTCCAAAAATATAGTTAGAAAATAATATCATGGCAGTATCAAATCTTTCTTTGATACATCCAAAGTAGTAAGAAGGAAAAACTAAAAATGAAACGAACAATCTAGAAAACAGAGGAGATTTTTATAAACAAAATGCTATTTGTCAAAATACTGAAGAATTCACCCATTGTAGACATTCCCAAGCTGTGGGATAAATAGATACTTATGAAAATGATATAAAAATGGCAATAAAGAGGCAACAATCAATCCCATTGGCCATGAAAATTGACAAAGTGGGTTTTTGTTTGTGATTTGAATCCGTATAGAAATCAACCTAATTGCTATATGTTCTCAAAAGACCATAAATTTGTACTGACAAGAAGTTTCAAATTATTGTAGCAAATCAAGAAAACACGATCATCCAACTAAAGACTAGAAGTTAATATAGAAAAAAGGACGTGCTAACAAAGAGATTGAAAGAACTGATTACCGTCAACATCAAGTGCCACATGCTATCATCATGAACTCCCTCCGATACCACCAAGATTATATGACAAACTGATGCAAGAAGAACGCCAAGCTAGAATGATTCCTTGCAGCAAGGATTAAATAATAACTTCAATTATCATAGTATAATATTCTTAGAACTATACACCAGTTTTTAGGACCATGGAATACATATAATTTACAATTCTTCAAAGCATTTACCTGGATACTCATCAGTTCATGAGCCAACTCTGCAGACAGAGACTCACCACTTATTACAGATACCGTAGATGAACCATCAGGCCGAATCATCTCAGCTAACACAGAAGGACTAAACACAGGCTGCATATAATACAAAGACTAAGAAATAAAAACACAATTCTCGAAATGGAAGCTCATTCAATTCGTATTCTTTTAACAATCAAACGAATACAACAACCATTAAAATAGCAACAAAGTATAAAACCTGAGTGTCCAGAAGTATAATCCTTTCAGAGGAAATCCCAGGCTCAATACCAACAGTACAGTGCCTCCCCGTTGCTCTCGTTTCCTCCGATTCTACCGCAAATGGGGGTAGCATTCCTGTAAACCATGCACAAATTCAGCTCATCTTTATTATCCACATTTATAATTAGCATCAGAATTTTCCCGAAAGAAGCCATTTTTCCCACACTTAGCACAAATCCAGATTTTTATTTTATTAAACAAGCATATATAGAGCAGAGTACAGATATGCAGACCGACGCACCAGATGAGGAAGGATCAAAACCATAGATTTCATTCAAAATGGTTGATTTGCCCACCCCAGGCGGTCCAATCACACCCACAACAGTAAAATCTGTGTTATCTGTTAAAAACTGCAAAACAATTACCAATCCAGAAAAGAAAAACAATCAGCAAATCTAAAGAAAGCAACTTCAACGAGTTGTGGGGGAGAGAGAGATTTTGTGTGCTGACCGGAAGGAATCGTTCGATCTGGAAATCCCAGGAATCTGAGAGGAGGTTAAGAGACCCAATTGATTGAAGGCGTGACCGGAGTGAAGCGGAGTCCTCATCGTGACCGCCGCCGCCTCCACGGTTGAATTTACCGGAGGTGACGAGGCCAGGCTTCGTTAGTAATATCTTGGGACCTTGCGTCGGGTTTGAAGAGCCACTGCCTGCCATGTCTCTCTACAGGACCGAATTTGTCGCACAAGAGTCTCTCTCTCTCTCTCTCTCTCTCTCTGTTCTTTGCATCAACTAACCTACGTTTTATTTTTCTCTCAGTATGTTAAAATTGTTTGCATAAATAAAATTTGTTTAGGAATTCTGTGTCTTTACTTCCTAGGACTTGTAGACAGACGGACTATCTTGACACCCTACCTGCCGAAGAAGGTGTGGATGAAATTGATCAACTATGCATTCACCAACACTTGGGAACGGGACCAAGAGGAGGTATTGGAGGTTGATGACCCAGTGGTTCACAAACACATTATGGAATCCGAATTTGATCACTTAAAGAAAATTTTGACGCAAAAGCCGTAACTTAGCACGATACGTCTACGACGATAATTGGGGATGATGAGAGAGTTTGCTTAATATGAGTTAGTTGGTCATAGTGACCGGCAACAAGTTCGTGCATTCAGCAAATGATTTTAGAGATTAAGTTTTTGGGGAACTGTGTTACAAGGATCTTATCTAAGGAGTTAAGAAGCTTTCTACTAAGATAGAGTGTTAATTCCCTAAATGGTCATTGAAATTTTCTTAAAGTTCTCATGGGGTCATTGAACTTAAAAATTGCCTCGTTAGTCACTTAAATTTGAAAATTGGTACCCCATTCATCACTAGGTAAATGACGCCCGCAAAATTGGAAGGATTTGATGAGATGTTTAATGGTATGGCTTACGTGACACGCATTTGGAAACTATAAAATAAATTGTTACATAAATCATGCTATAATTAGTTAGAAACTATAATAATATAACTCTTTAAGTTTGTGAAATTCAAATTTCAAAAAGCTCTCCATTTGGGTAAAATCATGCATTCGACAGTCATTAAAAAACCCCAAATATGCATTGAACGATTTGTGAATAAAAAACAATCACATACTTGTAGACTCGTGCTCAACGTCATCAAATTCTTCCAATTTTGCAAGTGTCATTAACGCAGTAATGAATGTGGTATCAGTTTTCAAAGTTACGTGATTAATGGGGCAATTTTTTAGTGATCCGTCAGAACTTTGAGAAAAGTTGAGTGACTATTTAGGAAATTAACACTAAGATAGTCCACAATAGTATTCCATTTGGTTAGGAAACATATGGATGGAGGATCGTGTATCTATTGGGGCTGAAACTTTGTAAACTTGATATTTGGAGATCTTACCTTTATTACAGATCAAATAAAGCGTCATTTGGAGGATGGGGACGTCGGTTATGAAAGTTATGATTAATTGATCAGAAGACTTCTATCGGTGTCACGCTAAGTCTAATTTTAGTGATGGTAGGTCCCGTGGATTTTAGTGATATTGGAACTTGTGTTGATTGTATTAACGGTAAACAAACCAAACACACAAATAAAGGAGCCACAAGAAGCACACAGTTTCTTTAGATAATACACACCGATATATGTGAGCCTTTTAATATTTCATCCTTTTGTGGAGAAAAGTAGTTTATATCATTTATTGGTGACTTTTCACGTTATGGTTATGTCTATCTACTGCTGAAAAGTTTCAAGTTTTAAATAATTTAGAGATCTTTGTCAATGAAGTTAAACAACAATTAGACAAAAAAGTAAAAATTATTAGATCTGATAGAGGTGGTAAATATTATGGAAGGTATGATGAAACTGGACAACACCCTGGCCTATTTGTTAAATTTCTTGAAAGATGTGGCATATGTTCTCAAGAAATTATGCCAGGCATACCACAACAAAATAGTGTGGCAAAAAGGCATAATCGTACTTTGATATAATGGTTAGGTGTATATTAAGCAATTCAACTTTACCCATTTCTTTATGGATGTTTGCCTTAAACACTGCTATGTATTTGCAAAACAGTGTTCCTAGTAAATTAGTTCCAAATACCTCTTTTGAACTGTGGACGGGAAGGAAACCTAGTTTAAAGCAGCTATGTGTTTGGGGTTGCTCGGTAGAATCAAGAATTTATAATCTACATGAAAAGAGACTGGACTCAAGAACAATCAGTAGATTTTTCATTGGTTATCCAGAAAAATTGAAGGGGTATAGATTTTATTGTCCTAAACATAGTACTAAAATTGTTGGAACTGGAAATAATAGGTTCATTGAGAATGGTGAAGTTAGTGGGAGTTTGAAACCATGAAATGTGGAAATACAATAGGTTAGAGTACATGTTTCTCTACCCTCAACTTTTTCTAATATTGTTATTCCTCGAATTGTTGAACAATGTGAAAAATTGCCAGAACAATAAATAAATAATCAAATATCTCATGATGAAGATACTACTAATAAACCTGCACTAAATGAACCACGAGAAATGGCATTAAGAAGGCCACAAAGACAACGTATACCTGCTATTTCTGATGATTATGCGGTTTAACTCAAGAGTATTGAATTTAACTTAGGAATTGTTGATGATGATCCAGTTTCATTTTCACAGGCCATCGAGGGTGCTAATTCTATTAAGTGATTAGATGCTGTAAAAAATTAATTGAAATCTATGGAGCATAATGAAATATGGGATCTTGTGAAATTACCTAAATCGTGTAAAAGAATTGGGTGTAAATGGGTTTTTAAGATCAAACGTGACACTAATGGTAATATCGAACGATATAGAACTAGACTTGTTGCCAAAGATTTTATTCAGAAAGGTGATATTGATTATTAGGAGACATTCTTGTCAATCTCTAAGAAAGACTCACTCAGAATTATAATGATTTTAGTAGAGCATTATTACTTAGAGCTACATCAAATGGATGTGAAGACCGCATTTCTAAATAGAAATTTAGATGAAGAAGTTTATATGGATATAATGGCTTTAGTCGCTCATTATGACTTAGAGCTACATCAAATGAATGTGAAAATCGTCTTTCTAAATTAAAATTTAGATGAAGAAGTTTATATGGATCAGCCTGAAAGTTTTTCAATTGAAGGAGAGGAACACATGGTGTGTAAGTTAAAGAAATCAATATACGGATTTAAACAAGCTTCCCGTCAATGGCATCTTAAGTTCAACGATATCATTACTTCCTTTGGATTTAAGGAAAATATCGTTGATCGATGTATATATCTAAAAGTCAGTAGGAGCGAGTTTATATTTTTCATTCTTTATGTTGATAACATCTTGCTAGCTATTAGTGATTTTAGCTTGTTATGCGACACTAAGAAATTTCTTTCTAAAAATTTTGAAATGAAAGATATGGCAGAGGCAACCTATGTAATTGGAATTAAAATATTTCGAGATAGGTAACAAGAATTATTGAGGTTGTCTCAGAAAGCATATATCAATGAAGTTTTAGAGAGATTTAAGATGAAAAATTGTTTAGGGGGTGTCGTTCCAATTCAGAAACGAACAAATTTTATATCATATAATGTCCTAAAAATGAATTGGAACGCAAACAAATGACAGTTATTCCTCATGCATCTCTTGGTGGGAGCTTAATTTAACCTCAGACTTGCCCAGACCAGAGACCAGTTTTGCTGTCGGAATGATGGGCAAGTGTCAGATCATTGAAAAGTTGCAAAGAAAGTATTGAAATACTTGTAAGGAATTAAAGATCACGTGCTCACTTATAAGAGATCTGATAATTTGGAGGTCATTGGATATTCAGATTGAGACTTTGCTGGCTGTGTAGATACTAGAAAGTCTACATTTGGCTATCCATTCCTCTTGATTGGAGGGGCTATATCATGGAAAAGTACGAAACAATCAATCATTGTTGCATCCACTATGAAAGTTAAGTTTGTGGCATGTTTTGAGGCCACAGTTCAAGGAAATTGGCATCGGAACTTTATTTCATGGCTTGAAATTGTCGATAGTAATGCCTAGCTGCTAAAACTTTATTGTGAAAATTCCGCCGTGGTCTTCTTTTCAAAGAACGTCAAGTACTTTAAAGGTGCCAAACACATAGAATTTAAATACTTTGCCATTAAAGAAGAAGTTCAAAAGCAAAAGGTGTGAATCAAGCATATTAGCACCAATCTTATTATTGCAAATTCATTAACGAAAGGATTGCCATCAAAGAAATTTAATGAACATGTTGACAGAATGGATATTGTTGGAAATGATCATTGACATTATGAAATTTATATATTGACACTTTGAGCTCATTTATTTATTATTTTTTACAAAATATTATTCCTGTCATAATTGTTGGTAAATGTACACGAATGGATCATGTAAATGCTGACAGGAATAGTCCTTTTAAAGATATTATTGAAATGCAATTTTCGAACTTGGAAACTAATATTGTAGTACATTAAAGGAACTATGCCGAAATAATGGTATACAACAGCCATAACTCTTATTAGTATGATTAGTCTGCGTCTCGTGTGTTGCACGAATTTTGTATTTATTTTGATTTTATTAGTGTAGAATTTATAGATTGTACAAAAAGTATTTGGAAATAAGAAATGTTTGTTTGATTCTCATCTTTTGGGCAATTGTATATTTTATGTCGCGATAATTTATTTTTATTCTTATAAATAAGTATAATGAATGTTGTGATTGTATATATGTCAACGATAATTTATTTTTAATTATTTTTTATATTTTTTGTTTAATATAGATGAAGATATTTTTTTTATCTGATATTGCAAATACGTTGTAAATTGAATTTCGTAAAATGCTTTTCTTTAGCAACTTCGATTCGAGAGGCTATACTTGTAGTTCAAAAATAACACATGCAGTTATAAATTGAAAGAGAATATCCACATACAAAAATATTTAAATAACAAACTCAGATTCGCACGTAAAATAACTTGAAGTGGCACTTACTGGATGGTCAGCTTCCTTGTTGGTGTAAGAATTAAAACCCTAATAGCAGCCTATTCTTCGGACGATACAACAGTCACTCCAAGGTTGGTAGGGCAAAAGAATTTGAAAAAAAAAATTTAATAAATTTTATTCGAAAGAGAAAAAAATTAAAAAGAAATTTAAATAAATTGATAAAAAAATCAATTATTTATAAAGTAAAATTTTCAATTTTAACTAAATAATATTTATATATTCTTCATTTAATTTTCATAACTTTATTTTATTTTTTACTTCTAAATAATTTAAAACGAATTTTTTTACTTATATAAGTAATTTTTACATATATTAGAAATATTTTTTGTTAATATGTTTATTTTAAATTTTTTTTTTTACAAAAAGTGATATATATATATATATATATATTTTTTTTTATTTTTTTTATTTTTTTTATTTTTTTTTTACTTATAAAAGTGGTCAGCACGGAGTAAGGCGGGAGGTATGGAAAGTTGTATGTTACATAGATTCACATTGCCTTTCTTACACTATATATATAATATAATAATATGAGCAAATAAGTTGATTTGAAAAGGCATGGCCATAGCGTATGAAAATGGATAACGGTAAAGTACAAAAAAAAAGAAATTAAATAATCCTCCGTGCCCGAAGACCACACTATATATAATTATTTTTTGTTCTTCTCTCTTCAATTTTTTTAACTTACAAATAACTTTTTCATTAAAACTGAAAAACTAAGTTTTATTTGGAAGATAAAAAAAATTTAAAAGAAAAAAATAATTGATTTTTTTAAGAAAAAAACGCATTTGTTAACACATACGTTTAATCTCCGTTTTACTATTTTCGATATTTATTTAGAACATTCGATGCCTCTACGATATAGTTCTCAAAATGAGTTTCGAGAGAATGTAAAACATTTATCAATTTGACTATCGTACAATCATCGATGAATTTTTTAAGTTAACTTGTTATCGAAAATTTTGAAATAGTAATAAAATAATTAATTCTTTAAAGAAAAAACGACTTATGCGTATTTTTTAACACATACGTTTAAAGTCCATTTAACTATTTTTGATATGTACTTAGATCATTCGATATTTCTACGATATAGTTCTCAAAATGAGTTTCGAGAGAATGTAAAACATTTATCGATTCAACTATCGTACAATCGTCAATGAATTTTTAAAGTTAGTTTGTTATCGAAAATTTCGAAATATAGTTTGAAAATGCCAACTTTGACGTCCCATAACATTTGATATAATAGACCGTTTCACGCACCGTTAACGACGTACAATATTATGTCGCGAATACTTCAAAACGATATTAAGAATGTAATATTTCGACTTCGTTTGATATCCAGTAATGAGCGTGAAAATGAACACAAAAACATAAGTATAAAATTTTTTTTCAATTTCTCTCATGGTCTCCTTCACAGTTACCCTAGGTCTCTGTGCAAGGAGACTAAGGTCTCTGTGCACAGAGACCTCATGTCTCGTGCACGGAGGCTTCCTCTTATTTTTTTTCTTTTTTAAATAAAAGTCAATACTTCTTTATATTATATAAACTAACTACAATGATATATAATCTAAAGTAATATTTAGATAAATTTAATTTAAAAAATTCAATATTACTATAAAATTAAATATTGTCTGAAATTATTCTCGTTTTTCTTAGAAAATTAATTTTTTATTACTACTTATTATTTTTTCGCAACATTTTTCTCAATACATCATTTTGCTCAAAAAAATTATGCGGTATGACGTAAAAAAAATTTTCAATTATGTAAAATTTCATTTTTTTCCAAGTGGGGAGCAAAAACAACGCGTTCCTCCGTTGCACGGAGAAAAAAATTTCCGTCATACCACATAATTTTTTTTGAACAAAATGATGCATTGAGAAAATTATTGTAAAAAAAGAATAAATAGTAATAAAATAATTGATTTTTTAAAGAAAAAACGACGTATACGCATTTTTAACATATACGTTTAATCTCTGTTTAACTGTTTTCGATATTTATTTAGATCATTCGATGTCTCTACGATATAGTTCTCAAAATGAGTTTCGAGAGAATGTAAAACATTTATCGATTCGACTATCGTACAATCGTCGACGAATTTTTAAAGTTAGCTTGTTATCGAAAATTTCGAAATAGTAATAAAATAATTGATTTTTAAAAGATAAAACGACATATGCATATTTTTAACACTACGTTTAATCTCCGTTTAACTATTTTCGATATCTATTTAGATTATTCGATATCTCTACGATATAGTTCTCAAAATGAGTTTCGAGAGAATTAAAACATTTATCGATTCGACTATCGTACAATTTTCGATAAATTTTTAAAGTTAGCCTGTTATTGAAAATTTCGAAATATAGTTTGAAAATACCTATTTTGACGTCCCATAACATTTGCTATGATTGACCGTTTCATGCACCGTTAACGACATGTAATACTATGCCGCGAGTACTTCAAAACGATATTAAGAATATAATATTTTGACTTCATTTGATATCCCGTAATGAACTTGAAAATGAACACAAAAATATAAGTAAAAATAAAATAAAATAAAATAAAATTATTTCTCTAAATTTTGTCTTCATGCACGGAGACAGAGACACCGTCTTCATGCATGGAGACACCTGCCTCCGTGCACGAAGGCTCCAACAATATTTTTTTTCCCTCCGTGCACGTAGATAGTGAGGCATTTGCTCCATGCACGGAGAGATTACCTTTTTTTTTTGCTGTATAGTTTTAGTTATAATTTTTTTTTCAATTTATAATTCTCTTTAATTCTTTTCTCTTCAAATTTTTTACTTACAAGTAATATGTTGTAAAAAAAATTTCTGTAGCATATTATCTTTATCTTTTTTTTTTAATATAAAAGTGATATTTTTCTCATATCCCTACTATATATATCTATATCGGAGTGGGGAGGAATGGAAATTGCGTGTTGTAATAAATTTGGAGGTAGTGTATAATAAAATAAAATATATATCAAGCAAACGGCGTCGTTTTTGGCCCCCAAATTGAAAAAAAAAACAAAAAAAAATGTTACAGTAAAGATGGATCAAGACATTGTTGCTTTCTACAGTGCCCTCACATTCCCCTTTTTTATATAATAGGGAAATATCAAGTGACCAATGTATGAGGGATTTGAGCTTTTCATACGTGCATTATGTTATAGACCACATAACGATGTAATATTACATGGGCCAAGTCGAAGAATGTTAGACCAATTAATGTAGCCCAAGTAATATTATTAATAAATAATTAAAGTGATTTATTTATTGCTAAAATTTTATTGACTCACTAAGAAGTGACAGTTTTATAACTACATATTTTGATGAAAAGTGGGCAATTATTTTAATGATCCATGAAACTGTCTATCTCTGTCTATAGATGTGAATGGAACCCATAATTTTTGTTTTTATTGTTTATCTTATTTTGTAGGTCTAAATCTTTAATTAATTGTTATAAATTCCCCCGTTTGCCCCCATTAAAACTCATTAATTCGCATTATTTTGTCAATTTTTCAAACAACAGCGGGCCCATGTGTCATTGGTTCAGAATATACGTGTACCATGAAAGGGAAATGTTTTAACAAAAATGCTATTTGTACATCATTTTTTTTTACATCAATTTTCACACTCCTTCACAAAGGTGGGATCCACGATTCTTTTAATCGTGGACTCCACCCACTTGCATGTGTGTGCTATGAAAAAAGGTGTGAAAAAAGTGTATATGTAGAATGGTTGATGTTTTAATTAATAATGGAGGGTACACTTCACTTTATATATCTAAATAACGGTAATACCCTTACAATCACTAACCAATGAAAATGTGGATAAGGGTGATTGAACGAGAGGTAAGTTTGCCTTCGGACATTGATATTGTAGAATGTTTTTGTCCAGCTGTCTGAACGGTCCATTTGACTGAAATAAACTATTATCAATAGATGAGAAAAGTGGTAGACATGACCCCGCTTGTATAAAAAAAGGACGGTTGAAAAGTGGTAGAAAAAATAATTTAATGAGTTTAGAAGAAGCCAAATGGATATATTTCTTGATCAATTAATTTATATGTAAAAATCATGGAATCGTGAGGCTATGGCATTGGGGCTAATTGCTTACGTAGATTACCAACTCTGGCTATAAATCGTTGTCAGCTCAAAAGGGGTAGTTTAAAATCGCTTCAAATTCTAGCTATCGTTAACTCAAATGCGATTTTAGTTGACAATGGAGCCAAAATATCATGAGAGTAGGAACACTCGAATTTCATCATCTTCCTCGATTGAATTCCATTCAGATTTTTCTGTCCAAAAACTTCTGTGAAATGGATATATTGAAGTCCTCATTTCTCCACTCAACTCCATTGAATCCAACTCCAAAACCCGCCAAAAATGGGACCCGGAAGTCCACATTACTCTGTTCCATCAAGCCGGACCCATGGTCTCTCAGCGACGGCAATTCTTCCAACCTCAACAAACCAAAACCCAAATCGAAACACCCGAAGAACCCTCTTTCCGATGACAACGCTCGACGGATAATCAAAGCCAAGGCTCAGTACTTGAGCGCGTTGAGGCGGAACCAGGGCTCACGCGCACAAACGCCCAAGTGGATTAAAAGGACTCCCGAGCAAATGGTGCAGTACTTGGAGGACGATAGGCATGGGCACCTTTATGGGCGCCACGTTGTTGCTGCTATAAAACGTGTGAGAAGCCTTTCTGGGAAGGCGGAGGGGACGTTTGATATGAGGGAAATAATGGGGTCGTTTGTCACGAAGCTTACTTTTAGAGAGATGTGTGTGGTTTTGAAGGAGCAGAAGAGTTGGCGTCAAGTAAGAGACTTCTTTGCATGGATGAAATTGCAGGTTGCTTTCTCTTTGTTATTTTCGCCATTTTTTGAGTTTTTGATTGGAATTTTAAGTCGCAGTTTATCGTTATTTGATGAATTTTGACAATTGAAGAGCTAAGTAGGAAGAAATCTCATTTCCGTTGTGCTTCTGTACTATTAGTACATTATTTCACTTTTCTTCTTTTAAAACTGGTGGAAATGGCTTGTGCCAATTGAAAAAAATAATGTATAATCGACATCATTATATTCATTGAATTACATGAGTATAAATCATTGAGTTACACGAGTATCAAATTAAAAGCCTTGTCCCTTTGCCTTTTCATACAGTTTTAAATCTGTGTTTATTTGCGTCTTGTTCTTGTAAAATTGCTTATAATAGCAGTTTTTTTAGGAGATCACGTGTTTTACTTTTTCGGTTCGTTTCCCCTTTTGAATTGTGGAATTATGTTGAAAGATTCACATATTAATTGAGTATAATGCTAGATTAATGATCTAACAGTTAAGCTACCGGCCCAGCATTATAACCTACACAATTGTCTTGCGTGCATATGGACAAGTTGGAAAGATCAAGCTAGCTGAACAAACTTTCTTGGAGATGCTTGAAGCAGGGTGTGAACCTGATGAAGTTGCTTGTGGCACCATGTTGTGTTCATATGCCAGATGGGGGCGTCACAAGGCTATGCTCTCATTTTATTCTGCTGTACAAGAGAGAGGGATAACGCCTTCTATTCCTGTCTTAAATTTCATGCTTTCATCTTTGCAGAAGAAATCATTACATGAAAGTGTCGTACATATATGGAGGCAGATGATTGATGAAGGGGTGGTCCCTAATCATTTTACTTACACAGTTGTCATTTGCTCACTTGTGAAAGAAGGTCTTGCTGAAGAAGCTTTTAAGATTTTTAAAGAGATGAAGAATTTGGGATTTGTGCCTGAAGAGGCAACATATGGCCTTCTGATCAGCTTATTCTCCAAAAGAGGTGACAAAGATGAAGCTTTCAGCCTTTATGAGGACATGAGATCACGAGGAATAGTGCCCAGCAAATTCACCTGTGCTTCACTTCTAACGTTGTACTATAAGATCGGGGATTATTCTAAAGCCCTTTCCCTTTTCAGTGAAATGGAGAGGTACGGTGTTGTTGCTGATGAAGTCATCCACGGTTTACTGATTCGTATATATGGTAGATTGGGACTTTATGAGGATGCACAAAAGACTTTTGAAGATATTGAGAGGTTGGGCCTACTTAGTGATGAAAAAACATATACAACAATGGCACTAGTGCATCTCAATTTCAATAATTTTGAGAAGGCATTAGACATAATGGAACGGATGAAATCTAGTAAAATTTTACTCTCTAGATTTTCTTTAATTATATTGTTGCAATGCTACACAATGAAAGATGACCTAACATCTGCTGAAGTTACATATCAGGCTCTATCTAAAACTGGACTTCCTGATGCCAGTTCTTGTAATGATATGCTAACTTTGTATCTGAGACTAGGGTTAATGGAAAAGGCTAAGGATTTCATTGCCCAGATCAGGAAAGATCAAATTGCATTTGATGAGGAGCTAGTCAAGACAGTAGTGAAGGTTTATTGCAAGGAGGGCATGCTAAAGGATGCAGAACAGCTGATAGAGGAGTTGAGTACAGTTGGAACGTTTGAGGGGAGCAAATTTGTTCAGTCATTTTTTATGGCCATGAATGGACAATGCAGCAGATTGACAGAAGCTGAAAGTGCTTCTGAGACCTTGGATCTACTTGATACTCTGGCTTTTGAGCTAATGCTTATGCTCTGTCTAACAGATCGAAGCTCAAAGACACAAGAAAAACTTAAGCTATTGCTGAAGACCAAAAAGGGCGAATCAGCAGCTAACCAAATAATTTGCAAATTCACAAAAGAAGGCAAGAAAGCTTCTTAAGTTTTAAAATTCATATTAGATTCGATTTTGATTTCATTAACAAAATTGCGATGTTAGGGGGTTTTTTTGGAACTGGCATATGAAATTTTTGTTGCAGGTGTGTCAAATGCAGAATATCTTTATCAGCTCATGATTGAATTTGGTTGCACGCTAGAGGATTCTGCAAGTGCATCCATGATTAGATTTTATGGAAAGCAACACATGCTTAAAGAAGCTCAAGACATCTTTGAAGATGTGGCAGGGTCTCTTGCAACTGGAAAAGTTCTATATAATTCAATGATTGATGCATATATCGGGTGTGATAAAGAAGAAGATGCATACTTGTTTTACAAAGAACAGACTGAGAAAGGGCATAATTTGGGTCCTGTTGCCATTAGCATACTGGTAAAAGCTTTGACAAAATCAGGTAAGAAATGTGGAAATCTAAGCATTTTCGAGTATTTTACTCTACAAGCTGCTTTTTCATTGAAAATTACAAATTCTTCAAAATTATCAACTCTGCGTATTACAACTACTGTCTTAGCTCTCTAAGTTTTTCAGTAGTTGCACCAATAAATTACGTTTAGATTCTCACTTTTCTTTCATGTAGGTTTTCCAAATCTAGGATAAGAATATAAAGTTGTTTATTCTAAAACTTTTTATATATAAAGTTGTTTGTTCTAAAACTTTTTATATCAAATCAATCTATGCCTAATGTTAATTACCCTAATAATTGATATTGAGGTTTTCAGTAAAGGGCCTCTTTTCCATTATCACATGAACCGAGAAACTTTAATGACTAAAGGCCTTGTGGCATAGGGAGACCTTTGGTGTCTCTTGTTTGATAATCTGGATCTCACACTAAATGATTTTTCTTTATTTTTCAGGGCTTATCCCTAAATAATGTTGTTAATAGATTGTGCACCAAATCTTTGAGCTTGAAGACCTTTTCTTATCAAATGTTTACACATTTAGATTGGAAGAAGAATTAAACTATCTTTAATGTAAGAACTGCTTCAAATGCTGGGAATTTCGAATGCAATCTAAATTACATTGTCTGTTTACGGCAATTTTTTTTTTCCATGGTTACCTTACACCAGCACTTTGTGTTTCTTAGCTGTTGCATGATTTTGAGTTTGTTTTCTTTTAATTTCACTTATTGCTTTATGTGTTCCTTGAGAACTTGAAATCCTAAAGGACTAGTGATTACTACAGTTTTTAATATATTGTGAGTTGTTATTTGACACTGTTTTTTCACTTGAATATTGATAGTAATCATCTTGTAGGCAAATATCATGAGGTTGAAGATGTTATTTATACTAGTTTCCAGGCCAATACAGACCTCGATACTGTTGTGTACAACACTTTCATAAAGGCAATGTTAGAAGCAGGTAGACATTGTTTATGTTTTCTGTCATTCATTTTCTGGCCATATATCTTGGAAATAAAATGACAGTTTCATGGCACAGGTAAATTACGTTTTGCAGTGAGCATATATGAGCGCATGCTTTTTGAGAATATTTCCCCATCAATTCAGACGTATAACCTGATGATCAGGTTAGTTATTATGATTTTCTGAGAGTTGTTTCTAAAAAGAAATTGATCATGAAGAAAGATTGTCTACCAAATTTGTTTAGAGGAATTCATGGTGGATGCAGTGTGTATGGACGGGGTCGAAATCTGGATAGGGCGATGGAGATGTTTAATGTGACTCGAAGCATGGGTATACCTTTAGATGAGAAGATATACACGAATTTGATTTGCTATTATGGAAAGGCTGGTATGTACTTATTTGCCAGTGAAAATAGTTCACAATTCAGTACACCTTCTTGAAAATTGAAATACATTAAATGAATATTACTTTGCGTCTGAAGGCTTATAAAAAAAATGTATGTACTTACTTTTGACCAGCTTTTACGAGGATATATTCTATGCAAATTTAATTACTAGTGGATCCTATTCACAATGAGTTCTTTTTCCCCTTCCTTTTTTGTCTTTGGAATATACCTGCATAACGGAGCATATTGATAATTCAATGTTTATATTGATAAGAACAATTTAATCTCCCATCCCAACCAAAAGAGCCCAAACAGTAAAAAAATAAATAAAAGGAATGGAAAAAGGCATCTATCTGTATATTCTGAGGTGCTGCTCAGTACTGGACTGTAGTTTTCTATGAACCTTTTGTATTATGATTGTCATGCAAGTTCATGAATCATTACTTCTGAATTGCTATTTTGAAGGCAAAAGTCATGAAGCATCAGCTCTGTTTTGTCAAATGCAGGAAGAAGGGATTAAACCTGGGAAGGTATGTTTATAGTGGTTGCCAAATATAATGTAGAGAAGTCTAGTTATGATACTCTAGATATTTGATTTTGAGCACTCATTTTCATGGGATAGTGTGTCCTATTTTTCTAGCTATTGTTTATGGATACATTGTAAGAGAGCTTGGAAGTCTCAACTGCTGGAAATTCTTTTTTAGTTTGTGTATGGATGCGTGACACCAGCTCATTGTTATCTTAATTGCAAATATTTTCTCAGATTGCTGAATTGGTCGAGTTTAAGAGAGAGCTTACTTTTCTGGAGGTTTTAAGATATAACATGCTGCCAAGATCATTTCATTGCAAGTAATTAATATGTTTCTTCAGATGACTTGGAGAACCTTTCCAACTTGAGATTGAGTTTTTTCTCCTAATCACTGTTGTGAATAATACAATTGATTAATTACACACGCCAAAGTTCGAGAACATCAACTTGAAACTATATCGAAAGTCAAACTATACCTTTCTTTCTAATTTGTACTCAAGATAATGTGTGTTTTATGCTTAATTTGGGGGATGCACAGGTGAGCTACAATATCATGATCAATATATATGCTGCTGAAGGACTCTATCATGAAGCAGAGCTTCTTTTCCAAAGCATGCAGAAGAATGGTTGTTCACCTGACACTTTAACCTACCTTGCTCTCATTCGAGCATATTCAAAGGGATTGGAATACTCAGAAGCAGAAAAAACCATCATCTCGATGCAGGAAAAAGGAATATCTTTGTCCTGTGCTCATTTTAACCTCTTGCTTGTAGCTTTTACTCAAGCAGGTTTGATGAGGGAAGCTGAAAGGATCTATGGGAACCTTATCTCAACTGGATTAGATCCTGACCTTGAGAGTAATCAGATTATGCTTAGAGGTTATCTGAAATTTGGAAATCTGGAAGAAGGTATCAACTTTTTTGAAAGAGACTGTTATTCTTCGGAACCAGACAGGTTTATTTTGAGTGCTGCAGTACACCTTTACAAGTCAGCCAGTAGGGAGTCAAAAGCTAAAGAACTTTTAAGTTCCATGAACAGTTCAGGGATTCGGTTTCTGCAGAATCTTGAAGTTGGATTAGGGACAAGAAACATCTGATTGAGTGTCAGTCATTGCAGTATTTGCAACTTCAAATTTATGATTATTCAGAGAGCTAAAACAATAGTTAGAATGACAGACAGCAATTTACTCATTGGTAATTAGTGATTTTGCTCCTACTTCTTGTGCACAAAGCTATTACCAACTGAAAAGAATTAGTTATGAAACAGAAACTCCAGACGTTCACAGTAGGATCTGCATTGTTTTTGTCTACTCTGGTCTGGGATGGTGGTCATTTTCATCGCGCTCTTTGTTGAATTCCATAGTGGTGACTCTGCAAAGATGGACTTTGCATGCAACTCCTATTCCGATCTTCTAAATGCACTCCAAGAGAAGGTAGTTACTGATACAAAATTTTATGGATCAACTTATTTGAAAATTATAAATCTTTTAGATGTTTCACCTGTTTATTTAACTTCATTTGATCTAGTATGCTTTTGCTTTTGCATATAGTTGGTGTTGTTTCTTATTTCATATATCATTATAAATTGTATTTGGTGCAAATTATTTTTTCTAACTTTCTCTAGGTGCATTTTAATTCCTTGCCAGTCAAAGGTGAGGATGCAGCAACTGTCATTTATATTGTAGATACCTTGTCTTAATGAGCAACATGCACCTAGGGAGGCTACTATGTTGAAGTCTGATGAAAGATTAGCATACGTTTAACATATTCTTTCCAATTGTGCTTAAACATTTGAGCTATCATAATTATATGGCATCATCTTTGAAATCTGTCTTGAAAATCTGTATTTTCTTATCTTCTCTAGGGATTATCGTTGAATCAACAATCACTTCACATGCAGTTGGGCAGAGTATCATCTAAGTTCCAACCATCCAAATTTTCTAGCTTGATAGCATGGCATGCTATACCAATAGTGCAACTTTCCTTGAGCACAAGGCAATCATTCCAGAATTCAGATACAAAACCCCTCGATCAGGTTAGAACTTGAGTTTGATCTTCAACCGAGGTGCGGCTAATTTGAAATTAGTTCGGAGGAGTGATTGTTTACTTACCCTTTTGTAGAAGAAACAGATGATGGGTGCTCTGTCTATGGACGAGGCAGATGTTGGCTGAAGTCGAAAGAATGTTGTGTATGTCATTTTGTTAGACACCTAAGTTGTTGAAGAAAATTAGTAACAAGGCTGAATATAAACAAATGTCAGTTTGTCAGAGAAATGTCATCCATTCTCCGTGTTGCAAATTCCAGCTTGACCGCTGAATCCATAAATGGCAGACAAGTAACGGGACATCTACTTATTTATGAAGAATATTTTATACATTATAGGAAGTGTCTTTAAATGTAGAGGGTTGAAATTTTTATGCACTCTTAACAATGTTCATTTTGGCTCTTTATTTTGCTTTTCTCAAAAAACACCTTTTGATTTCTCTTTATATTTTATAAAAAATGTTGAATCTCAACTTTGAGAGCCCTTATCACCTCGCCTCTGGAGCATTATAAGGGAGATAAATTGCGGGATGTGCCCCAATAGGTCAGGGAACAAGAGCTTGCTTGTATATTGGTGGCTATAAAGAGTTCAATCTCATATCTCAAGAATCGAACCTCATATTGTGATGTCAGTAAGGTTGAAACTTCCTCACTCCTGTACTTTACACCATTGGGTTATGTCTCGGGAGGCTTCTCTTTATATTTTATTAAACATGCTTTTATATGTCAACGGTCAATTGATTTATATGTGAATACTTTAAAAAGGAGAATACTGAAATTTGTGACTTACTAAGCACCTGTTTTACAACTATTATTTGGCAAAACAAAAAATGTTTTGAATAGTAATTTTTAGGTATGATTAAAAAATATGAAAAACTTTTGGATTTACATGCAAAATATATTTATTGTATATATGTGTGGTTCAGTCGCGTTTTTATGTTTGTCTCAAGTCTGGTAATTAGGAGAGCCCATATTCATTGAAAATTTAACATTTATGTAATGCATATCCTAAAATAAAGATTTCTGTCATGTTAGATGATTTTGAAATTACATGTACTCAGGCAAGGACTGCATCGCCAAAACCTGTAAAAATGCTCAGGTCTTTACCAGAACTCTTGGAAATGCAAGAATAATGTCATTAAATTTTACGTAACTACATAAAATACTGATATTATACCAAATCAAATCAAACCAAACCAAAATGATCAACTGAAATATGCTGGTGATTATCGATAACATGGATTCTAATCTAAGCTAAAAGAATTACCAAAACTCCTCCACTTTCGCAAGGGAAAAAATGATTACGTTACCCGAAAACTATAGATATTCGTTTGATTGTTCATTTTGAATCCATCCCGGATGAAATCTTACTTCACATCACCTTCTCCTTCACCCGCGGCGAGTTTCCTTCTCTGTTGATGCTCTGCAACTTTATAATCCACCACTTCTCGAAACAAATTTGGATCCAATATGCAGTTCTTGCTCCCGTAAACAGCTGCTTGAACGCTTGCCATCAGCTTCGCTATCTCTCTTCCTGAAAACCCCTCAGTTTTTGCTGCAGATTCCTTGAGAATATCATCGTTTATGCCAACGATCTCAATCTTCTTTTGATCTTTTTGAAACAAAGAAGAAAACAAGCCCGGTTTTCTAGCCCCAGCTCGAGCTATATACTTGTCCAGATATAGTTTCAGTAATTTGAAGCGTTCGGCTTCGCCAGGCAAAGGGAATTCCAGGACCTCATCAATACGGTCTGCCACGGCTGAATCAAGATCACCTGGGCGATTTGTTGCAAGAGCTAGAACGATATCTTTGGACTGGTCACCTGTCCGAAATAGGAGTGCATTGAGTGCGCTCCTTTGAGCTTCACTCATATAGGTTTTATTCCTCCTGTCAATTCAAGAAACCAATGTTAGCTTGAATGAATTAAAATGTTACCGAATGATATTTCCCAGGGAAAATATGGAAATCAAAAGGATCAGCCAGTCGATGACAGTCGGATACATCATAAATGTAGAAATCAATGTCTGATACAAAAGCACGATGAGTCTCACAAGTTAGAATCTCTAACTTTCAGTTTTCTTCTCTGTCCCCACTTGTTTTGTTATTGTTACTTTTTTTGTTTGAAGATACCAACATCAATTACCTACTAAAGCTGAAGTAGCAAAATTAAATTCTAGTGTACCTAACAAGTGTTTTTAAGGATGTCCACGGATAAGATACTCAGAAAATACGATTTTTTATTATTATTATTTTTTTCAATAAATAGATTGATAATGACATGAAGAATAATGCCTAGCTTGCTGTATATATCAAGTTATCTTTACAGAGGAAAAGTATAAAAGTAGTATCCAAAAATTTAGCGACACTAACTTAAACTAGTCAAAACTCCCAGGGAAATGCTACTTACTCGCACAAAAATGCATCTGCTTCATCGATGAAAAGCAACAAACCCTTGTTCGACTTTTTTGCCCAATCAAATAGTTGATGTATCTTTGTAACAGCCTGAGAGCCCAGTGGTGCTACATCACCTCCAGTCATTAATGCATAGTCAAGCCCCTGTATACATATGAGAAACAGATGTCAGGGCTGTACAAATGCAAACAGATAGCATCCTCTATAGGAAATCTAATTAAAATAAACTAGAACCTATAAAGGGCAACCCACAAGGTGTNGTACAAATGCAAACAGATAGCATCCTCTATAGGAAATCTAATTAAAATAAACTAGAACCTATAAAGGGCAACCCACAAGGTGTAACACGTCACTAGATATTCGCTCATGTTTGAACTGGTCGCCGTTGAGGGGAAGAGCTTCAAGCCATTTAAACTTTGATAAATTGAAAAGGAAGGTTACGTTCCCCATTCCACGAAAGGAGAAAGTCATGGGGGAGGGGGGAGCGAGGGAGGGAGAGAGAGAGAGATTTCCCATCTAACTGACCACTTTGTCATCTAATCTGTTGACTATGAACTCATTGCAGCACTTTCTATGTTCCTCTCATTACATTATAATGATGATGTTAAAATGAATATTTTTTTTATAAAAGAGTGGATAAAATAATGAATGAGGATACACCCACAAGTGGATTTGACACTAGAGAGTATCATGTTTACAATAGTGATGTGACTTCATCAAATTGAGTATGAAGAGAGGTAAACCAAACTTAAACATGGTATGACATGATTGCAGAAAATTGAATCTCCTTGGGCATTTTAGTAGTAGATGTAGCAGTGGATCAGGAGGGGGAAACATTCGTGTCAAAAACCTCAATTTATTGCAAATCAAATATTGCTTGGTTGTTCATTTGTTGTTCTTGTTGTTTCCCCATACAAACAGGATATTTGAAAGCACAAACAAGGTTAAGAAGTCGACTCAAAGAGTTATTATGCATGAACAATAATGGTTAAAAAACATAAACAATCAAAGTTCACAACAGAAAGCTAGTATACAACAAGATATTTCTTGAACTGCAACTAACCCACAATTAGATAGGTTAATCAGGAACCTATATGAAGGTAAAAAGCCAACAGATGTCAAGCGGCAATAGGTCCAACCCCCACTATCATAATAAATATTCCCTAGGCAAGGAAAGGTTATAGTTCATACAGATTTGCGTGCAAGCTCTCTAGCAGCCATTGTTTTCCCTGTTCCTGGAGGCCCGTAGAAAAGCATGTTTCTAAATGGTGCTTGATGAGCTTTTGTATTTGCAGTTGCATTAGCCAACTGTTCGATACGTTTTTGAAGAGAAGGGTGTAAAATAACATCACCAAAACCATTTGCGCGTTGGGTGCCAGAACTTCTATTACTCATGGCGCGTGAAAACAAGCCTGACCATGGGTATTTCCCCCTGGAAGACTCCCTGATCAGAGATGGTTGTCCTAATATTCGGTCCACATAACTCCAAATCACCCTTGCACCTTCTCTGAAATTCAGAATACAAATTCATTTAAGTGCAAATAAAAAGTGCTGACAAGAAGGTTACATAAATACCATCATCATGAAGATAATTTATAGCTGACACCGCCAATAGCATATTAATTCAATAAATAATCCCAGGCTCAAATATAATAACTGCAATTTGCTAATCACAGAACATGAATGCCCATATACACTCAAATGAGATGATTGATTATGGCTATTTGAGCTGATAAATAATAAGATGATTGCCTTAGAACCAGGAACTTATTAAAACCAGTTGCAAATTACAACAGTGAGCATATCATGCAGCTGCTAAGGTTAATTTGACGAGTATATATCGCTGTAGGCTGGTCAGTAACAAATTAAAAAAAGAAAGATAATGAACTGGAGCTAGCAAAGAATATGGTTGCAGGGACTAGTAATAATACTCTCCAATTATGGTGTAAATATATAGTCATTATCTGTTCTTCTACCGCAAGAGGAGCTGCTTGGGATTGTTTAAGCAATTCACGTAATCGTTGAAAGATGGATAGACCCGATCTTAGTGTATAGGAGTTATTGAAAAAAACAGAAAATAAAGGACCGAGAAGCTATGGCTGATTCAACTACATGAAACAGGAGAGAAGCAGGTTACGAGGCCCATTGGTTACATAACTCAAAATACCTGGCGATAAATAGATTACTGAAGTGAGGGAGAATTACTTTTTGAATTATCAAGTTATGTCATTCACAAGGCTCGAAGAGTTTGTAACCCAAGATGCATCATTTTTGCATTGTATGGTCATCACTCACCATATGATCTTACCAATTGGACTCAAGGCAATAAAAATTCCAAGTTCCCTAGATTCAAATTCGTTCCAAGGTTCAAAACTCATAGACTGCAGAGTTCAATTCGACTGAATAGGTAAGAGGATACAGTGAGCAAAAACAGAGAAAAGGTTACTACAGCCCGATGATGCAGAAATAAATTAAAATCAAAATCATGTGCCCAAATCTTGAGACATAACTATAGTGTGGACTGAGTATCCTAACATCTACAAATTTGATAAAGAGCACAGCAATCCCATGCAAAACAAAAGGATTGTGTTCTTTATAACAATTCCAATACCTTGTTGTGTAGACCCCTGCTGCAAGAGCCGTCACGCCTCCGACAGCTACAACCAGCTTATTTTGATCTGTTAAAATTTCCCGTAACCCCCCTGCAAACAATGGACCGATTACTATTCTGCAGTCCATTTAACCCAAAAAATAATTGAAAGAACGTTTATAGCAACAATATCCTTCTCAGAGCACTTTTAATGGTTAAAAATTTAAATTTTGTCAACTTTTGTCCACTTCCCATTCCCCGTTTTCTCTCTTTTTTCCCCAGGGAGAAGGGGAGTGGTCTGTAACACAAAGGAAGGAGAAGAGTAAGCAAATAAATCTCAAGTATCTTCATTTTTTTCCTTGTAAGGTAAAAAAACACACTGGAAGCTCCACAGAAACTAGCATGCAAATGGCATGGCTAAGCATCATCAAGCAACCCAAATTTTTAACATTATATCAAGACAATGTTATTATTATATGTTGCGAAGTGGAAAATCAGGGCAATCCACTCCAACTAGCATCACTTATCTGTGTACCCCCCCCCCCCCCCCCCCCCCCCCAA